TTGCCAAGCTCCTCATGGTCTTCCTTTAGACTCTCATGAGATGTGTTGAGCTCATCAAAGGCTTGCTTAAGGGCTTTTAGTTCCTTACGTAAGTCTTTGCATTCCCTTCTCTTAATGTCAAAATGTTCTTTAGCATCTTTCAACATGTCAATTAGTTCATTTTTAGTTGGTTCATCATCATCATCATCATCACTTTCATTTTCATTATCATGTTCTTCATCACATCCATCATCACAAGTTTGTACCTTAGTGGCCTAGGCCATGAAGCAAGTTGATGTAGTGTCGAAGAGAGAAGGCCTCTCATATATAACAATGCTTGCAAGAGCCTTCTTCTTGGTGGTCTTATCATCATCACTATAATCATCATCACTTGAGGAAGCATCACTATCCCAAGTGACCACATATAAACCACCCTTCTTCTTCTTGAAGGTCATCTTGTCCTTCTTCTTGCCCTTCTTGTCATCATCTTCATTCTCACTATTGTAGGGGCATTGAGCAACAAGATGATCCTTGCTACCACACTTGAAGCACCTCCTTGCCTCATCCTTGTTCCTTGATGATGACTTCTTCCTTCTTGCACGATAGCCCTTCTTCACCATGAATTTGCCAAACCTCTTTACAAAGAGAGCCATCTTCTCATCATCATCATCATCCCAAGAAAATGAGCCTTCATCTTCACTTGATGTGTCTTGCTTGGCTTTGCCCTTGGATGATGTGGCTTTGAATGCCACACTCTTCTTCTTATCATTCTTATTCTCATCTTTCTTCTCCTTCTTCTCTTCCTTCCCATCATCATCATCTCTATATGTGTCATCGGTCATTACATCACCCAACACTTGGTTTGGTGTCATGGTGTCTAAACCACTCCTCACTAGAATAGTGACCAGTGTGCCAAATCTCAATGGTAAGCATCTCAAGAACTTGTGGGAGAAGTCCTTGTCCTTCACCTCTTCTCCAAGTGCTTTGAGATCATTGACAAGCACTTGAAGCCTATGGAACATCTCCGGCACACTCTCATCTTCCTTTATCTTGAAGCTTGCAAACTTCTCCTTGAGAATGTATGCATTTGCATCCTTCACCGCTTGAGTGCCCTCAAAGTATTTCTCCAACTTCTTCCAAGCCTCATGAGCCATCTCAATGTTCTTGATTTGCTCAAATATTCTCTCATCCAAAGCATCATGTATGGCACTAAAAGCAATGTCATTGTTTTGGAGCAATACTTCTTCAACAACGGTGGGAGCTTTCATATTGGCAACCTCAATCTTGGTCTCCACCACCTTCCACACCTTTCTATTGATTGACTTGATGTAGGTGGTCATCTTAGCCTTCCAATAAGGATAATTTGAGCCATCAAATTGAAGGTGGCTTCTTGGTATTGTTGATTTGAGCCATTTTAACACCGAAGGTTGTTAAGCCTCAAATCATGGTGACCACGGCTCCGATACCACTTGAAAGGTCCTAATGACTAGAGGGGAGATGAATATCCTATTAAAAATTCTACAACAACACTAAGCCAAGTGGTTAGATAAATATGAGGCAAAGCGAATATTGCGCTAGCCTACTAAAATGCAAGCCACCTACCAACAATTTTAGTTGCTATAGTCTCAATTTCACACACAAGGCTATATCACTACCACTAAGTTAGTGAGCTCTCAAAGACTAACTAAAAAGCCTCACTAACCACTAGACAAAGACACAAGCTAGCTCTCAAAACTAATTACACTAAAGAGCTTAGCTACACTAGGAAAGTAATGCAAGAGAGGAAGAGGTGATATACTGCCATGGCAAGTGATCAATTACAATGAATACCAAGAATACCAAGGAGACAATGATGACACAATCAATTTTTCCTCCACGGTTCACCGAGCCATCTAGGTGTCGGTAAACACCAAGAGTAACAAGATCTTCACTAGCCCAAATCACCCAACTAGTGCCACAAGATGCTAGAACACTAAGCAATACACTAGAGGCTCTCCAATCTCACTCAAGATGCTCAAATCAAGTGTGCAAGTGAGTGGAGTGGTGTGCTCAGATCTCAAAGGGTGTATGCAGCTGTTAGAAGTGCTAAGAGAGTGGCTAAGGCCAGCCACCACCTCTATTTATAAGCTCACAAGCAAATAGAATCGTTACCCCTTGGAGCCAGCTTATGTGAGGTCACCAGATACGGCGGTGGTGGCACCGCCCTAGGGGTGGCGGTGCCCCCCCAACGGTCGATTCCAATAGCTAGTTTGACTGGCATGCGGTCACTGGACAGGCTTCGGTGGCACCACCACAGGGAGGACAGTGACCAAGCTAGGCCAGCCCCCAAAGACTAGCCTCTGGAAAATAATAGTGGTGCACCGCCCTCGATATGGCGGTGACCATGGTGGTGACGAACCCCATTTACCCCAGTCTCTGGATAAATATGGCAGTGGCACTACCCTGCCTACGGCGGTGACCCGACAGTGCACCGCCCACATGGCGGCGGTGAACACCGTACGCACTGGTGCCCGCTTCTCCTCTGCTGTTTCTCGGCTGAGTCCAGGTGGGCATCGCCCTAGGGGTGGCGGTGCCACCGGACAAGCTGGCGGTGCCCCACCTGAGCACCTCCTTCTCGGCCTCTCCAACCGGTCACCGCCGCATGGGTGGCGGTGCATCGGACAAAAGCATGGAGGTGCCCCCGTGGCAGCACCCCAAGCCTAGCAATGTCTCCTTTTCTTCACCTTTTTCACTACCTTTGCAAATGTGCTAACACTCCAAGTATTTCACCATCATATGCAAGTGTGTTAGCATTTTCACAATTATTTTTCTAAGGTTAATCACTTTCTCACCGATTATGCACTAGGCCTAAAATGCAATGCAAGTTTTTCAACACCTAGTGGCACTAGATGATCGAGATGTCCGATAAGAGCTCCCCTCTTAATAGTACGACCATCTATCCTAAATATGATCACACTCTCTATAGTGTCTCGATCACCGAAAACAAAATGACCCTATAATTATACCTTTGCCTTGAGCCCATTTTGTTTTTTTCTTTCTTCTTTTCCAAGACCCGGAGCTTGATCATCATCACATGTCCACACCACCACCATGGACTTCATTTCATGTGGCCATCTCCATCCATAAGTGCCACCTAGCTCCTTCACTTGGGTTGGACCAACCTGTCTCAAATCCACACTTAGAGTATAGGGTTAGTCCAAATAGGTTTCATCAATTAACCAAAACCAAACTAGGGCTTTCACGCGTGCTTATTGTTGTTGTGAGTACTTGGGATTACTTGTTCTTCATTGTCTCTCTCTCCCTCAAGCTATTTTTTAGGTTTTGGTCTCGATCTACAAATTGGTTGCGCTCCGAGGTCAAGGAAGTACTTGGACAGCTTCATCTATCCATAAGGAAGTGGGGTAATTCGTAGATCTAAATTTGAAGTCAATTTGACTCTGATTTTATAGTTCTTCGTAGGCGTCGGAAGTTCCAACAGTTTTGTCCGGAAGTTCCAACTACCGTCGGAAGTTCTGACTGTTGGAAGTTCATCGGAAGTCTGCCGGAAGTAGAAGTTCGGCGAGTGCCGAACTTCCGGCAGTGTACTAATCCGTTGTTTTATTTTGTTTTAAGTTTTCAGATACACCTATTCACCCCTCTAGGCATATTAAGGATCCTTACAATATTACACACCTCTTTGCATCTGAGAGTGGAAAATACTGTTCATTCCCACAACAGCTTCCTGTCGAGAGTCGAAGATGCTGACGGACTGCACATACACCTCTACATTTGAAAAGCAATGCCAATGCACATAGTATCCCTCCTAGAGAGAGATCAGTAAATGAACATCTCAGAACAAATGAATTTAAAGATCTGTTTGGATCCCTATAAATAATAGTTAGCGGAGACAGCTAATAAGTCTAGCTAATGTCTTATCTACCATTCAGCTAATAATTACTTCCTTTATTTCAAATTATAGGATGTTTTATTTTTTCTAGATAGATAAATTTTGCTATGTACTTAGATATACACTATATCTGAATACATGGCAAAAACAATATATCTAGAAAAACTAAAACATCTTATAATTTAGAATGGAGGGAGTAGCTATTAACTGGTTTAGCTAACATGGCTAATAGTTTGTTGGGTGGATCAATTAGGGCCTAAATCCTTGGAATCTAGGCGCAAGGCAGGTTAGTGGCGAACTGTGTTTTATCTGCTCCAATAATTGAGAATCCGATAGAAAAAAAATCCTACAATTCTAGATTCTCATCTAAACGGATTAGATTTTATAGGAACTTTGACTCACAGATTTTTAAAATCTTAAAATCTCATAAAACTGTTGGGATTCTTTTATCTGGATTCTCAGAATCCCCTGGGATCCAAAGGCACCTAAGAGGAAGGAAACAGCTTGACGCCGGCAAACTGCCATACATCTCACTTGATGCTCTTTTCAGTAACTGCTCCAATAATTGTACTCCAACTATACTGCACTGCATTCTGCACTACGAGAGAGAGAAAAAGAGAAAGAAATCTTTTCTATATGGACTAGTAGAAATACAGTATCTTCTGCATGCAGATTACGCCATTGATCTGTCTTCTCTGGCTGCAATGAATAAGGTAGGAGTGGTAGTAACCATTAACCAAACGAGCTGGAAGAGAGAAATTAATCCACCAACTAAAAACGTGATCTACCCACACACAAATCAATCCAACCACCCCGCCGCGTCCGAGCCGAGGGAGAAGAAATCTGATCACTGACGCCGTGACGCGACTGATCGTCGTCATGATCTGCTGACTGCTGCTGCTGCACTCGTGCCGTCGTCCGCCACATCGCTTTTTCCACGCACCCTTTTTGGCTGCACGCTCACGTACGCGGCGCAGGTTTCTGTTCTGTGGCGGTGGCGCCATCCATCCGTTACAGGTGCGCAGGACGCCGGCCCAGTTTCTTCTTCTTCTCCTCCTCCTCCAGGCCGGCCGGCGGCCTCCATCTCGCTCGCCCGTCCCTACGCTCTCGGTTCCCCCCGCAACCGCGCCGCGCCATGGGGCCTCCGCGGGGCAGCGGGACATTGCCTGCTGCCGTTGCCACGGCCGGCGTCGCCGGGGTGGTGGCCATCATCATCTGGTCCGCGGCCGCTGCTGATGTGGTCGAGGAGAGGCTGACGGTGCCCATGACGATCGTCGCCGGCGCCGCGTCAAGGGGGGCAGGCAAGCACGCCGCAGCCTAACGCCTCCGTTTCTTCTTCTTCTTCTCATGGTGTGACTGAGCAGCATAGTCAGGCTACGTGATCCATCCGCCGCGTTTGATTTCTTTCTACCCGCACCCGCAGTGTGCCTCGACGGGAGCCCGCCGGCGTACCACCTGCACCGCGGCTCCGGCGCAGGCGCGCGGAACTGGCTGCTCCAGTTCGAGGGCGGCGGCTGGTGCAACGACGTGCGGTCGTGCGCGGAGAGGGCCGGGACGCGCCGAGGATCCACCCGGTTCATGGCCAAGGTCGAGTTCTTCACCGGCATCCTCAGCAACCGTGCGGCCATGAATCCAGGTATACGACGGACGGACCAATCTTCTCACCTCCCTCTGAATTCAGCTTTGAGGCAGCTTGACAAACAATCAAACATACTTTAGATCGCTGAGGCCCAATCGCCTATCCTATGCATTCATGTTTGGACGTGAGCTCAAACTCTTCCGCAATTCATTCGATAAGGCAGCCAAGCCGTCGGCAGCAAACAGCGTACGTTCCCGGTCCTGGTGGTACAGCTTACTTTTGCAAAAGGTGACAGCAAGATGGCGATCACAGATTTCACAATCGGGTAGGTGGCACGAACAGTTTGCTTTAATCTAGGTCCGTGCATTTCTTTGGCGAGTTCAAGCTCATGGCCCTACAAAAATAATTTAGCCAGCGTCGGGTGGGATAAGATGCACAGTGCTTTATTTAGTTTCTGGCCCACGTCTGCATTCTGCTTCAGGCGTCCACTGTAAATTTCTGGTGACAGGAACTAGCAGAGTTCGATGCAAACATAAATTACTGTTAAATATTTTGAGTGAATTTGCATTCTCTACTTTGACCATCATTCCTCTTGTGGCATTGTTATATGTAACATATGTGTCATTCTTGATTTGCGCTACGAAGCTCAAGTCTCCATCCGAGAGCTTCACAAACTTCCTTTTCCTTGTTTTTTTTTTCAATTGATATTTCCATTCTTTGTTTTGCACTTTTTCTGCAATCTGATTGTCCAATCTTTTTCAGCATGTTTTTACAAAATTAAGTGTGCTAAGACCTCGCTAAAATGTCGAGCAGACTTTTACAACTGGAACCGTGTGAAACTGCGTTACTGCGACGGCGGATCCTTCATGGGTGATTCAATATATACAAACAGCGTATGCTTACTGTTTGGCAATTGTATATATGAAACTATGTTTGCACTCTGGAGCACTAGCTTACCGTTTGGTATTTGCCCATTTTTGCAGTCCACAGTCCTCTACTTTAGTGGTCAGAGGATATGGGATGCTATCATCACTGATCTGCTTGGGAAGGGACTGGCGAGAGCCGAAAAGGTTCCCCATCGGTTTTCCTTCCTGTTATCCCCGTGTCACCTTGGCATCTTCAGCATAAACATCAATTTCTTCGGTTGATAAATTAGTCTGGACTTGTGCTTTGCATATTTCAGGTTCTGCTCTCAGGTTGTTCAGCGGGAGGCCTAGCTACATTCTTCCACTGCGACAGCCTTAAGGAGCGGCTTGGAGGCACTGTCACGGTGAAATGCCTCAGTGATGCCGGATTTTTCCTTGATCTGTAACATTGGATGCCTAGCTACCAAATTTTGTTTTTGGCTTTTTCGGTTGATCCGACAAATGCTTCAAATTCTGATATCCCTTCTTTCCAGGAGTGACATTTCTGGGAACAACACCATAAGGCAATTCTTTAGCAGCCTAGTCTCCCTGCAGGTTTGTCACTACTGTCTCTTTGTCTAATTGAATTTGGGAACATCTGATAATAATGTTTTGGAACCATGAGCTTTCCTGTAGGGAGTTCATAAGAATTTGAACATGGACTGTCTGAATTCAACAGACAATGCATACCTGGTATATATTCTTGGGATTCTTAGTTCACCTTCAGGATACTAATCAAAATTTTAGCAATGAACCGATGATCAGATTTGATGATCCTTGTCTATGCAGTGTTTCTTCCCACAGTTCGCACTTCCAAACATCAGAACCCCATTTTTCATCTTGAATTCAGCTTATGATGTATATCAGGTAAATCGACTTGTGTTGCTGAAGTTCTCTCCTTTTTGAATAACTTATTAATATAGTTTTTCGACACCTGGTGTCAAGTAATAATGCTGGTTTAACATTTTTGGACAGTTCCATCACATTTTGGTGCCCCCTTCATCTGATCCTAGGGGCCATTGGAGCCACTGTAAGTCAGATCCTGGTGCATGCAGCACACCACAGATAGCAACCCTCCAAGGTTAACTTTCTGCTAAACAAATGGTTCAGATTCATGTTATACAGAACAATCATCTGCGATGTTCTAAATTGAAGCTACTGTTTTCATGGCATGATTCAGATTTTGAGTTTTGTTTTCAGGACTGAGAAGTGCAATGTTGTCATCTCTGAAACAGTTTGAAAGCAAACCAAAGGCAGGGATGTTCATTAACTCCTGCTTTGCACATTGCCAGAGTGAGCTGCAGGACACATGGTTTGCACCAAATTCTCCATTGATAGATAACAAGGTAAACAAGCTGTATTGCTAGAAAGTACATGCTCTTTTTAGCCATAGGTGGTGCTTTGGTTAACATTATAGACTTTCAGAAAATTGTAGAGGTGGTAGGTGATTGGTACTTTGAAAGAGGTGCTGCCATGGAGATTGACTGCGCCTATCCTTGTGATTCAACTTGTCACAACCTTATACCATTTGATCAGGTTAGTTTCTTCCGTGAAAAGAGGTTGTTATTTTGGCAAAATAACTCTACTTATTAGTAACACTTTAGCCAAAAATGAAACTGAGAAATAATTGGTCATTGAACATAGGAATTGAGGATTTATTAGTAGTTTGGCATATGATTACACTCAATTATCGTCATAATAGAAAAACTCTCTTCTAATTGGTGATAATATGTTAGTTGCATCTGGTAGCAGGCCAATGATACAAAATATTGATTCAGACTATAGTTACCTTTTAATTGATTCTTGCTTTGTATGTATCACTGAATATTAAAAAAAGAAAAAATCCATATTTTCCAACTTAAACAGCACAAATATTCTCATGTTTCACATTTCACAGTTGGACTATAAACTATACTCTGCAAGGTTGAACTAAAAGTTTCCTACACTACCCTTTTCTGCAGAATGGAATCTCTGGCGCCTGAAGTGGACCCTGGATCAGTAGCATTAACATTTTCCCAAAAAATGATTGATTACCTGTGTATATATATTGCACATTGCATCACAATTCAATTTGGCATATGGATGAATAAAAGGTAGAGCCAATGCTCTTGAAAGATATGCAACATTTGGCATGTTTTTCCACAACTCCTCTGGTTATCAACCATGTCATTAATCCGGTTGACCTCGCCAAGAAAGCTAATCCCTGACTACGAAATGAAGAATACAATCAAGAACTTGAAAGTACGCAGCTCAATAAAAGTGACAACTGTAGATGCATGATTAAGATCACAAAATTGGGGTTTCACAACCAAAGATGACGACTATTTGAAGACAGATTGACCTAATACAAAACCCAGACCCTAACATGTGGTGTGACAACTCAATATAGGGTTTAATGGTCGTTACCCCCTTGGACACGCCCCCTAACGGGCTCTAAAACGATACATGGCCCCATGGACCGACGGTGACGCAACACCTTGATAGATTCTGAACGCTGACTTGTTTCGATGATTCCCGTTGACTCTAGTGGAATTTGGACCTCAAACCAAAGTCATTGCTTAATTTATGAAATTAGTTTTTCATCTATATGTAGATCATCGAAAATGGAGTCCGTATGCGTCCTGAGCGTCTGTTTTACTGCAGGCTGCTCCTGTAGGCTGAGGCAAACTCGAACTCGAGTTGGATTGAGCCTCCGTCTTGTCTTGTACATCCTAGCTGGTCTTCTCCGCCTCCACACCTTTATCTAAGTACTTCATGACTATCTCCAATGTTCCTAAGTAACATAACATCATTAGATAGCAATGTATTCACAAATCTATGAAATGATAGCTTAAAAATGAGCTCACCTTTGAATTTAATTATCGCATTCGAGCTCGGGTCATTGCACCTTGCGTAACGGTTGGAGGATCAGCGGGTGCATCCGAAGAAGTGATGTCCTCATCAGTAGGGAGTGTACAATTTTCATGAGGGTTGCAAAACACATCAGAAACTAAATTTGCTCTAGTTATTCTTCGAGCAAAAGCACGACTCCATCCCCTCATTGATTTATCGCTAGAAGCTTATGTGTAATTTTTTCATCTTTTTGTAATATATTTTTTGTTACTTAATCATTGTATTTTGAGATCTTCTGCTTTTTGCAATAAAATTCTTGTAGGGGATGACATCCCTTCTGTTACCTTCAAAAACATCTTTTTTCCATAAACAATGATAAAAGGGGTTTAAAGTTAGAAACCAAACTCTAACAGATCCTCTTTCCAATCTTTTTCCCCTTTTCTTTCTCAATTTAGAAAATCGACCCTAAATTTCCAGGAGAGCAAAATATAATCCCCTTTGCCTTTCCCTCTTTTGCATGGAGAGTGGTGTAGTGGCCAAAGACAACAACGACAATGAAGGTTTCGGCATCGGTATAGCAACAGGAGACAACATGACCCCACAAGAGAATGCGATGGCGAAGGGCCAGATAGGGAAGCCAGGCAGAAACATGGGCCAACCACGTTCGTGCCACCACCCTAGAGAGCATGTGGGCTAGGCATGCCACCGCACTAGGCTGGCGCTGGCGAACGAGTTGTGTCGTCACTCCGCGTGCGAGCTAGCCGTGTTGCCGCGCTGGGTGAGCATGCGAGTGGTGGTGCGGAAGCACGATGAAAGAGAGAAGGGGAAGTAGAAAGAAGAGTTTTGTGCATTGGCACGTGTGAAAGGTCCTAATATGGCTAAAGGGGGGTGAATAGTCTATTTAAAATTCTATAAATCCATTGGAGCAATTTGTTAGTAAACTAAATGACGAAATACAAACTTGCTCTAGCTCTACAAGGGATGTGAAAGGATCAAGATGCCCAAGAGGAAGGGGTGAATTGTTCTAATTCTAAATTTCTTACAATAATTAAGCCCTACACTTAGCCCATTTCACCCCTCTTGTGCCTAGAAGTGTTTCTATTGCGGCGGGGGTGGCGGCGGCGCGGGCGCGGTGGCGGCATCGCTGGCGTGGTGAGGGAAGGCATGGCGGCGGTGGCGGCGCGGGTGCGATTTGATTTGGAGAGAAAAGTCCGTGTGTACCCCACGTGACAGTCAGAAATTGGAAATAGATCGCGTGAGCACTGTTGCGACCGGACACGCCTTTGCATATGACCGAACGCTACATCTCCTGATTCCGATCAGGAATAGAGAGGTCCAGAAACGCTCTCGCCACGACCGGACGCGTCCGATCTCACGCGACCGGATGCACCGTTGAGTCCGGTCATTTTCCGAGGAGCACCACTTAACGACCGGATGTAGCGTCAAGTGTAGACCGGATGCGGATGAAGTACTGTTCACACGTCAGTTCACTTGAACACCGAATGACCGGACGCGGTAGGCAGAGTGACTGGACGCGCCAAGCTGTGAGTCCGGTCTAGCGCCCGGTCCGTGTTCCGCAGCAGTTCCTCCTTCTTTCTCTCACGACGCTTTGTCCCAATCTAGTCCCAACTTCGATAAGACCAAAATAAACACCAATTGGGATAGATATGAGAGACCTCTCTCAAACCCTCAAGTTTTTTAAAATAATTTGCCTTCGGCTATAGTTCTTTCTAGAAAAATAGGCAACACTAGAGTCAAGGAGCAACATATGGCAGGGTTTATAACCAATAGGAGCTTCAAATGCTCTCCCTATTTGTTGATGAACACAGCGGATGCTCAAAAAATAACCGAAAAGAAACGATAAAACAACACATATGCATATGCAATGCAATACTTGAAGGAAAATCTAGTTGCTTGCCAATTTTGATCAAGGTTAAGCTTTTTCACATGCTTTTCGGCGGTTATCTTAACCATGTTAGACAAGCCCTAAGTGCTTTACTAAAAATTAAACATGTTTTATATTACAATGCAATGCAAGGGACAACACAAGCTCATTTTTTGGTGAAGTTACTTAGATTAAGCACATTGAGCTCATTCCTCAACCGATAAAATGTAGCCTCATCTAGTGGTTTTGTGAAGATATCCGCCAATTGATCCTCGGTCCTTACACCTTCTAGTGATATATCATTTTTAGCAACATGATCTCTAAGAAAGTGATGCCGGATATCTATGTGCTTGGTGCGAGAGTGTTGAACTAGGTTATTAGCAAGTTTTACCGCGCTCTCATTGTCACACAAAAGAGGTACCTTTTCTAGAACTACACCATAGTCTAAAACAGTTTGCTTCATGTAAAGGATTTGTGCACAACAAGCACCCGCGGCAATGTTCTCCGCCTCGGTGATGGATAAGGCCACACTATTTTGCTTCTTAGAAGACTAAGACACTAATGATCTACCTAGCAAATGGCACTCTCCGGATGTGCTTTTTCTATCAATTTTGTAACCGGCATAATCCGAATCAGAATAGCCAACTAGATGGAATCTAGCTCCTTTGGGATACCAAAGACCAATGCCTGGTGTGTGCTTAAGATTCCTAAGGATTCTTTTAACAGCAACCATGTGAGCCATCTTAGGATTAGCTTGAAATCTAGCACACATACACACACTAAAGATGATGTCGGGCCTAGATGCGGTCAAGTATAACAAGCTACCAATCGTAGACCGGTATAGAGTTTGATCAACCAATTTACCTCCCTCATCTAGGTTAAGATGTCCATTAGATAGCATTGGTGTCTTGATTGGCTTACATTCATCCATTTTAAACTTCTTGAGAAGATGTTTGGTATATTTTTCTTGAGAGATGAAGATCTCTTCTCTCATTTGCTTGACTTGAAAACCAAGAAAGAATATAAGCTCTCCAATCGTAGACATCTCGAACTCCTTCGACATCAATTCACCAAACTCTTTGCAATAGTCTTCATTTGATGAGCCAAATATGATATCATCAGCATATACTTGATAAATGAAGATCTCTCCATCAAGCTTTCTTGATGAATAGTGTGGTGTCAACCTTTCCAATGGTGAAGCCCTTCTCAATGAGAAAATTTCAAAGGCGCTCATACCAAGCTCTTGGGTCTTGCTTTAGCCCATATAGTGCCTTGGACAGCCTATAAACATGATTAGGATATCTAGGGTCTTCGAACCTGGGAGGTTGATCAACATAGGCTAGTTCATTTATGAAGCCACTTAAAAGTGCACTTTTAACATCCATTTGATATAATTTCATTTTATGATGAGGTGCATATATAAGATGGATACGAATGGCTTCAAGTCTTGCAACCGGTGCAAATGTCTCTCCAAAATCCAACCCTTCAACTTGAGAGAACCTCTTTACAACTAGCCTTGCCTTGTTCCTCACAACGATGCCTTGATCATCTTGTTTGTTGTGGAACACCCACTTTGTTTCAATGACTCTTGCATCCTGTGGTCGCTCTTCAAGTGTACAAACTTCATTGCGGGTGAGGTTGTTCAATTATTCATGCATGGTATTTATCCAATCCATATCTTGAAGAGCTTTTTCTACATTCTTAGGCTCAATGCAAGAAACAAATGGAGTGAATTTCTTCTATCAACCACTTGAGGAGGAGGATGTGGAGCATCGACATCTTGGGCTTGTGCCACCATTTGATCATGGGAGACGTGAGTATCTTCATTTTCTACTCTTTTATCTTTATCATCATCTTGTGGCACATTTGATGAAGGTGGATCAATCACTTGTATATCATCTTCATTATCTTTGGGCTTGATGTCTCCAACCAAAATGTTCTTCATGACCTTCCTCAATGGTTCATCACCTACATCATCAAGATTCTTATGTGCTCCTTGTGATCCGTTAGATTCATCAAATTCCACATCATATGTTTCTTCAACCAAGCCGGTGGCATGATTAAATACTTGATATGCTTTAGACTTTGATGAGTAACCAACAAGAAAACCAATATCACAACATCTTTGAAACTTCCCTAACCAAACACCTAGAAGAATGAGACATCCGGCTTCTTCCCATTGAGCAACTCATAAGGTGTCTTACCAAAAACTTTTGGAGAAATAGATGGTTGGATGCATAGTATGTGGTGTTGATAGCTTTCGCC